AACCCCAAAAGGGGGGGTGTTCAAAGGGGAAAGGGGAAAAAAAAAGGTTACCCCTTTCCCAAGGGGGTTGGGCAAAAAGATTTTTTCCCCCCCCCCCCCTTTTTCCGGGAAAGGGGTTTTAATGGGGTAAAGGAAAAAATTTTTTTTTAGCCCCTTTTGGAAAAATAAAAAGGGAAAATTTTTTGTTTTTGGGGAAAAAGTGTTCCTTCTTGGGGGGGTAAAGGGTGGGGGAGGGGGGGTAAAAATTCAAACCGGTGGGGCAGGTTTTTTTTACCCCGGTAAATTTAAATGGGCCAGTTAAAAAATTCCCCTTTTTTTTGGTTTTTGAAGGGGCTTTGTTTTTTTTGGGGGTAAAATTTTTTTTTTTGGTTTTTTCCCTCCCTTTTTTGCCAGGGGGGGGATCATTTAAAAGGGGAGGTTAAAAGGGGGGGGGGGTTTTTGGGGTGGGGGTTTTTAAGGGGGGAAAAATTTTGGGGGGGCCCCCCCCCCCCCCCCCCGGCGTGTCGCGGTATCACAGCGATCGATGCTGATGCTGCATGCCAGTACTGAATTTGTGTACCACAAGTGCATGTGCTGACCTTTTTTTAGGTTGTTCCGGCACACCAGTACCGTAGGTTGCATAAGATATCACACCCCCTGGGCCGATTTACGAAGCTCGTTATCTCGGCAGGAGAAAGCAGTGACGGTGCCGAAAATGGCGGCGTTGGGACCGTCTCGTCGAGAGCTTTCCGAAAACGTATACTTCAATTTCGGCATCCTCTTCGTCGTGGAGCAGTCGTGCTTTGAAAATCGGTCCAGGGGGTGTGATATCTTACGTCACCTAGGGCACTGCCCCTTTCGTTTGCGTAAATTACGGTGCATGTGGTGTTCTTTTTTGTATGGTTGTTTCGGTTGTTTTTGCCCGCGTAGATAGACGGCTCTCCTGTTGGGCCCTTTGTGCTGTTCATGTGTTGCCTGTCGCGGGACGAGGGGATCGAGAAATACGATGCTTCGCGCTGCTGCTTTTGGACACACGATACGTTCTTGGCGTTCAATTGTAGCTGCTGCTGCTGCTGCTACTGCTGCTGTTCTTGTTCTTGTTCTTGTTCTTGTTCTTGTTCTTGTTCTTGTTCTTGTTCTTGTTCTTTTTTTGTTCTTGTTGACGTTGTTGTTGTGGCCGACTCGATTGCTGCACGACCAACGGGCTGCCAAGGTCGAAAATTAAGGGTGTTTTTTGGAAATATTTCGTCGAAACAGGTTATCTCGCACGCATCGGTCGGTTGTCGCACCCTCTTGACTGCTGCCAGAGAAAAGGAGTGTGGCCTAGCGAGTGCATGATGGCGTATGTTTTGTCCAAGTGCCTCCCTTTTCACCTTGTTGTTCTTTGCGCGTTTTTGTTCCAAAATACTTCGCTGTGCGTTTTTTTCAAGATTTATTCGTACCCCTGTCACGTTGTTCTTTGCGCGTTTTTGTTCCGAAATCTTGATTCTTCTGTATGTCTTTGTCAAGTATTTGTTCGTCTGAACCACCTTTTTGTTCTTTTTCGCTTGTATTTGTTCCGCAAAGGCGCCCATCAGAACGCGGAGGACAAGGGCATGACCCTGGACATCAACGTGGAGGAGAGGAATTCAGTCGTCTTCGCGCCCGGGGTGACCAAGACTCTGTTCGATAGCAACTGGGCGGGCGAGGTGCGGGTGCCGAGGGCTTTTTAGGTGTTGTGGGTTGTGTCTTTCTCTCTCTCTCTCTCTCTCTCTCTCTCTCTCTCTCTGTGTGTGTGTGTGTCTGTCCCTGTCTTTCTGTCTCTGTCTCTCTCTCTTACGCACACACATTGGTCAGCCGTAATGGCCCGGTCGATAAGATGCAAATTCCATACACACACGGCACACATGGTATGCATGCGCACACACGCCGGACGAGAGTCCCGCCGCATTATGTCTTGTTCTTCTTATTCGGGTTTCATCCGGAACAACCAAACCATGTCGCGCAACCGCGCCGAACAGCGAAGAGCCGCAAATCGGCGGCCACGATACGGAGCGGACTCCTCTGCTGCTCACCTTGCCGCATCTCTTGCCAGAAAGAGCAGCACTACGTCGTTCCGGTAGAGATGAACGGGCTCGCCCGCTCCCCTCCGCCCCGCTTGTATTACACTGAAGCGGTATGTAGTTGATATACACAGCTGTTTTGCTTCCAAATTTGCAAATATCCAAGTCCCGACTTCGCAGATTTCCAAATTTGTACACGTTCCACATTTTTCGGTGCCGGTTGTTTCCAAGTTTTTCTTAATTTCCCAAAAAAAATCCGCCGCCGCAAATCGAGGTTCTATGGTCTACGGATTTGGAAATTTGGAAATTTGAAATTTGGAAGGAAAATAGCTGCTGTATAGAACGGCCCTTACGAACGTCGTACTTGGTAGCTTGCCTGCCCTCCGCAGTGTGGTGCAGAGACAACGCGGCTCCGCACGCGGGCTTGGCAAGGCAACAGATATGCATACCGCAGGTGATACAGGATACCACACGCCCTAGACTGACTTTCAAAGCTCGACGACTCCGCAGCAGAGGACAGTGGTGGTACCTAAAACATGGTGGCGTTAAATTTAAAACCATCTCATGGACATCTTTCCGAAAACGCAGCAATTGAGTTTTGTGTCCTCTTCTTCGTCGTGGAGTAATCGAGCCTCGAAAATCGGTCCAGGGGGTGTGGTATATTACGTACACACCCTCCGGTACAGCTCCGAAATTCGGTCTGTCTCTGACGTCCTCATCCGGTATTGTTGCCCCTGTCGCTCGAACATGTGAATGCCTTTCTTTTTCCAAGGACCAACAAGAATAGCTCACGACTCACCCCGTCAAACCGAGTTTAGATTGTATTTGTTTCCTTCGCGAGTGAGGGCAAGTGCGGAAGCGTCTTGTCTGGTTGATAGACCGCGCTAGCCGACTGTCATAAAAGAAAACCGCTTGTGTGTGATGTTGGCGAGTCAGCGATCGTGACAACACCCGGCGGACCGTTTCCACGTCACCAGCGACAAACAAAACCCTTTCCATCATCACAGGAGTGCGTGTTCTCTTTCTGTTTTATTTTGCATGAAACGTAAAACCCCTTTCCACTCTCCATTTCATAAGAGTGCACGCTCTTTTTTTTTTTATTTTGCATGAAACATAACAACCCTTGACACTCTCCACTTCATAAGCGTGCATGCTCTTTATTTTTCCATGAACCGCAACTAAAACAAAAAAACAGATATCCTTCGAGGAGAAGAACGTGCTCGGTCGAAACGGCGTGATGGGGTTGAAACTCCACCGGTCCATGTCGTCTCCCTTCACTAGCTTCAGGTGAAAAAACAGCAGTTCCCGGTACCACAATCCCGTGGCTCTACAATGCCTTGTAGGATCCCGCTGGGTTCGCATTGCCGTAAGAAGAATATATTTGGATTTGTTAACGTTTCTTTGAGGTTCGCTGTGCTCTTCGAGTCGAAAACACGTGAGCCGTGTGAGAGCTTGGGACCGTCACAGCTGGCCGGCTGTGGGCTGGTCGTGCTGCCTGCTTTTCAATTCCGTCTTACAGCACCCCTGGATGATACTGTTCTTTCATGAGCCCACGCTAGAGGGATCACTCGTGCTGTATAACCTGTCACCGCGGTCTTGATCTGTTTCATTCTTTTGTTGTTTTTGGCCGCTCTGTTCGCCCAACACGTCTTCTTGGTTTGGATATGTACTGCTGTACACGGCCGATGGAAAGGAGGGCCACTTGCAAGACCTGACAACTTAGGAAGGGTATCTGTTTAGGGCAATGGTATGTATGGTAATCGTCTGTTGAAGATATTTCCTCCCTCCATCTGCTCGGAAAGACTGCTGTGCTCCGAATGTTTGCTCGGACAAACCCAGGTTCCCGAACAAACCCATGTATTTCACTGAGCCCCCCCCACCCCCCTGATGACCTTTCTCGTGTAGTGTCCGCGGCGCCTCTCTTACTCACTCTCTCCTGTCTCTGATTTCCAATGAGAAAAGGCCGTACTCCGTTTCTATAATTCTGTACCATTATCCTGCTTCCAAAAACTGAACGTGAAAAAAAAAACAGTCTTCGCATGGGCAACAACCGCTTCGGGCAGCCGGGGGGCTGGCAGCTCTCCTTTTTCCGTGACTGCCTCGCCCCGTACAGCGGCTTTGCCCGTGGCGGCGGCGGTGGCGGCGGCTACGCCAACAACGCCCTAGGCCCAGCATCGTCGGCCCCAGATTTTTCCACCGCGTCTCCGGCGGGAGTTCCAAGGTATGCGAAGAGGCTTTAGGCGGAAGGGAGTGTAATGATTTTCTGCATCTAAATATTTTTTCGGGCGCGTCCTAAGTTCCCCTTCTTTTTATCCGCGCGATTGGTTGTAATCATAATTCGCCACCTACCCGCTGACCCCGCCCCCGCCTCCGGGCTCCTCCCCCGCACATTTATGCTACTAATATTCGCCTTAGCCTCAGCCTCGCGCGGGTTCTAGTTCAGGACTTGGTGGGTCGTGGAACCGTTCCCCCGTTGCTTGTAGTTTTCTTTGGACGTTGCACGTTGTATCGAAATCACATGTATCACATGATGAGGCGAGGGGTGCTGGTTGGTTTGCCAAAATTAATAGCTGAAAATTATACCCGTGGCATTTAAGTACAGCACTGGGCCCTCTATATTGCAGGGGTGTGTCCAGAGATTTCACCGACATCACTATACCGGGCACCAATACACTATTCAGGATCGAGGAATATATAGGTTTTAGTATACCAGATTAAATCTGTGTCAGCACATTTCACCGACATCACTATACCGGGCACCTATACACTATTCAGGATCGAAGGATATATAGGTTTTAGTATACCAGCTTAAAATCTGTGTCAGCAGATTTCACCGACATCACTATACCGGGCACCTACACACTCTTCAGGATCGAGGGATACATAGGTTTTAGTATACCAGCTTAAATCTGTGTCAGCAGATTTCACCGACATCACTATACCGGGCACCTATACACTATTCAGGATCGAGGGATATATAGGTTTTAGTATTCCAGCTTAAAATCTGTGTCAGCAGATTTCACCGACATCACTATACCAGGCACCTATACACTATTCAACCTGCACTATAGAGGGCCCAGTACTGCCTGTAGTTATTTTTGCTTTTTTAGAAGACAAGTCAACCCACCACCCCGCACCACCAGTGACCACAATATATCCCACCGCCGGCCCTAACGCGCCGCCTGCGACGTGGCAGGGACCTGAGCATGCTGGCTCGCTCCATTCAAGGGGCGCAGCACGGGAGGGGTGTAACCGAGGGCGTGGAGGAGGCCTCGGGCGGCGGGAATTCCACAAGCAAGGGGCACAGGGCGGGGGCGGCGGCGGGAGGCGGTCTGTCTAGCTCCCACGGGGTGTCGCTGTCCTCCTCGTGGCCTTTCGCCATCGCGAAGGTCACCGCGGCGGCAGGGTACCAGCAGGTGGGGCGTCGTGTTGATGCGTGTTGTTGTGGTTGTGTTGGTGCGTGTTGTTGTGGTTGTGTTGGTGCGTGTTGTTGTGGTTGTGTTGGTGCGTGTTGTTGTGGTTGTGTTGGTGCGTGTTGTTGTGGTTGTGTTGGTGATGTTGGTGGTTGTTGATTGGCTGTTGTTGTTGTTGTTGTTGTTGTTGTTGTTGTTGTTGTTGTTGTTGTTGTTGTTGTTATCTTTTGCTGCTGCTGTTGCTGCTGTATTGTCGTGTTGTTGCTACTACAGTAGTACTGTTCTTTGGTGTGTGTTGCTGAGCGGCGGCCGGCCCGCACGGTCTCCATCGAGTTAACGCACAGAGACGCGCACCCAGAGGGCACTTGAAGATCCCATAAAAAATGACAGTGCCACAGCCGGTTTGCTCGTATTGCTTCTCTCCTCACGTTCCCTCCCGCCGATCTGGCTGTCCGACTTGTCACCCATAACACCGAACCAACACAAGCATGTCACCCTTTCCCCCCCCCCCCTGGAATCCCGCCGCCCTTCTCGTCATTGTCGGCCCCGCGACGACGACCACAAACCCCTTGTTTCTCGCTCCCACCACCCAGATATCTCCGCCTACCAACGTCCTCAGAAAGCACAGCTCCCACCACGACGACACTCTCCCCCCTCCCGCGGGCGGCACCGGTGCCGACCAAGTCGCCGACGGCTCCTCCTCCTCCGCCGGCGGCGGCGGCGTTGCAGAATCCCGTCGCCGGGGCTTGTGGGATGACAGCGGGGCCATGGACCTCTTGACGCTGTCCGGGGGGGTTTCGAGAGACTGGAGACTCCCGGGCGTGCTGCGCCGGCTTGGCGGCGCGGGGCCGTCGACGGGGGCGGCGGCGGCGGCGGCGGGGTCGGTGTCGTCCTACTTGGACGTGAGGACGGGGTGCCTGCTAGAGGGAGGGGCGGCGCCGCGGCCGTTCTCGCACGAGGTGAGCCCGGCCGCCGTTGGTTTGGATGTTGTTGTTGTTATTGTTGTTGCTGCTGTTGTTGTTGTTAACCTCCAGTTCCTCTGTTTTTTTTATTTGCAATCTGTATGAAAATCCCGCCGGCGCAGCGCGCCACTCGGAAGTAAACCCCCCGCTCCCCACCTCAAGCGGCAAGTAAAACGTCCTCTTCTCCCTCCCAGAACCCATATCGTGGCTACGATGGGGACCCCGATGATGAGCCGTAAAGTTCGATGGATACTAACGGTGTTTCGAGAGACTTGTTCCATCCCCCTGGTAGTTGCCGCAAGCAATGTACCGCCCTGGATACATGCGTCGGATCGGCTATCCTGCCTCTGCCTACATCTGACTCCGCCTCTTTGTCTTTTCGCCGTCGCCTGCCGCATCTGTCTCCCTTTTCTTGGCCTGCCGTTTTGGTCTTGTGCCTCGCCACTTATGGGGGGCGTTCCTCGGGAATAAAAGTCGGCTACCTTGGTGCACCGGGTGCCTGTGGGACCCCACGGAAAGGGAGGGTCCTGGAACGTCACCCTCAACGTCAGACACCAGGTAAGAGATGCTGCGTGCTGTCTGCAGCGTGATTGTCCCGGTCTATTCTGTCGCCGGTGTGGATGCATACCACATACGTCTTGTTGGCGTATCATCAGCCGGTGTCGCACACAGGAAGAAGCTCATGACATATAGAGTTCTTATTCAGTGCGTTGGATAGCTATGAATTGGATGGGACGCCGTCCGTATACTCTTCCATGTCGTGGTGATTCATGTACCGGTCCTGGCTCCCTCGGTGCCGGGATGGATAAGCATCGGTGAGGGTAAGCTCTTGGCTGAGGGATCAGTTGCGACTGTACGAGGTAGTTTTAACATGACGCTTGCACAACGCCCGTTCGCTCGGAGACTTTGGAGCCCCACGCCCTACGCTGACGGGCAGCTATAATAACCCCCCCCAATCGACGTTGTCCGAATGACGTTGTTGCGTTTTTTCCTCTGAACCTTGGTGATGTAGGTCCAGCACTGCTCCAAAGGCACCCCCCTGTACCAGGTTCCCCCCTTCGGAGGACAACGGACGGTGAGACAAGATTTCGCGATGGTGGTAATATAATAGGTATTTTCGGCCTACCTAGGTCTTCACCGACGCGAGGAAGAGAACTCGATGGATTTGAGTGATGGTTGTTTTCAGCCTACCTAGGTCTCTCGCCAACACAATGGAGGAAGGCAACCGGGGTCAATTGATGGTTGTTGTTTTCAGCCTACCTAGTTATCTCGCCAACACAACACAGAAAAGCCGAGGTCGATGGAGCCATGTAGCGAGTTTCTGTCGACCGTTGGCCTGGCAATCGGGGGTGGAATCATTTATCACTTTAGAAGACGACGTTGGTCTACCCTACGCTGATGTACTTTTTGTGGTGCCGATATCCCCCCTTATTAATATCTGCCGGTTTCCGTTGCCTCAGGTACTCCAAAGCTGGGCAAGTGTGTCCCGCGTGTTGTCAGCTTGCCTCGCTGCCGCTGAAACGAAGCTCATTGAAAATCTGTATCTTTGGTGTAGAACCGCCCACCGTCGCTCCTCGCCTTTTTTGCACGGAAGGATTTGTTTCGAAATTATTTCTGATGTTATCGTGTGTTTTTTTCATCATCTTGGCGGTGGTGGTGTGTCGTCATGATCGTTTAAATAGTCGAAACTCTTCTCTTTTTTTTTTAGTCCAGATTATATCTGTATGAAATGTTGACTCTTTTTTTTTTTTTCCACCCAAATTCACTGCGCGGCAAAAAGGGCGAAAATCTTGTTGAAGGTTGTTGTGCCTTCAAAAAAAGGGCGAAAATCTTGTACTTTTTTTGTATGTTTTATTTTGACTGCCTGCCATGTTGGTCCGCGCTGTCCAATGGGCCTTGGCCTTGTAGGTGAGGGGGTTCGCCGAGGGGGAACTGGGTCGGGCGAAGGAGTACGCCACCAGCACGGCCGAAGTCAGGGTTCCTCTGCGGAACCTCTTCGGAACCCTCCCGACACAGGTGAGGAGGGAAAGGGTGGATGAAAGGGCCAAGAGCGAGTTGCTGTTCGTGTTGGTGGTGTTGGTGTTGTTGTTGGTGGTGGTGGTGTCAAGAGCGGGTTGTTGTTGTTGTTGTTGTCGTCGTCGTCGTTGGTGGTGGTGGTGGTGGTGTCAAGAGCGAAATTGTTGTTGGTGTCGTGATGGTGTTGCTGTTGTTGCTGTTGCTGTCTTTGTTGTTTTGGGGCCTGTCCTAGGCACAACTGTATCATGAAACGACTCCTCGAGCTCGGCCTTGCTCGGGATGCGTAGACCGACCGCTGAGTGCCCCCCTCCCCCCCCCCCCCCCCCC